AGGTGGCTCTCGGGGCGCGTCGCCTCGGTCGGGAGAGGTCCTGTGAGTAGAAGTGGGGGGAAAATGGGAGGGAGGCAGGGAAGGGCGAGCGCCCCGCGGCGCTTCTCGCTCCTCTCGCCCTGAGCCGCAGTGGGAGCGTCCCCGACCCTCTCTTCCCTTCTCGTTCCCGATGCCCGCCGGCATTTCCCGTGACTTCTGAAAGGAAACTCGCAAATTTAGAGAAGACCCGGCAGTCGCTGGGGCGTTATTAGCCGGGATAACCCGCAAAGTTTTTGGTCTGTTCAGAGTCATTGCTCTGCGCAGGGCTGAGCAGCCCTGCCGGCGGCCGAGGCTCACTGAACTCTTTTTATTTAAAAAATACGACAAACAATAAGTCACACTTTTTTCTTCCTGGCCACGCGGGGAGGTGTGATGCACTCTTGGAAGCGGTAAGGAGTGCCTCTCGCTATGGCTTCGCTCCCTTCCGAAAGCTCGGTAACTCTTCGGGCTGGGAGACCTGGCTCAATTTTCCCCCTCTGCCAGGAGCTTTAAAGCAGTGCTCCTCGTCTTTCTGGGCTGTGCTGGGGGCAATATTGGATGTGGAATCGTTCGGGCTTTTTTATCACTTGCTTGTGCTGCTCTGTGCAAAAAGGTTGGTACGTTGGAGGATGAATGAGACTCTCTGGTGCTACAGGTTACAATTTAAACAGCAAGAACTGCTTTAGGGATCTTTGGTGAAACAGTGAATGGGTAAAATATTCCTCAGAGAATTTTACTGTCACGTGTTCCAAGTCCAATATATTAAGAAAGTGTAAGCAGATGGTTTTTGGGCTGTGTTCTCAAACTACAGTAATGTAACAGAGTCATTTCAAGTGATGGCTTTTATTTATGTTGATATTTTGAACTGTGAAAATAACATTGTTAACAAGGACAGAAGTTGAATTATGGCTAAAATGTGCACTGGAAGAGCTTATTTTTTCTTGCTTAGACATGCTGTTGATGAAATAACATTGGACCTCAGGCAGCTAACAAAGCCAGTATTTTGTGTTTCTTGTGAGTTTTTTGCTTGGTTTTTTTTCAACAGGTTGAGTAGAAGATAAGTTACCTTTGTAATTGTAACAAATTACATATGTACGGCCTCTGCTGGGATTGTGTTCTTTCCCAGCAAAATTTGTTTTCCTTTTTATTAACAGTAGCTTC